AGGCAGATGTTGCTATCAAGGGAAAAGATCAGCTCCTCGGAGTGCAGGAGCTGCTCTCTCAGACCAAAGGAAACTAGACTTTTCCCTCCATGTGAGGCAGCAGAGCTGGGTTTTTTTATGATCCCTCAGCTCAGTGGTTGAGCCATGAGCATCTTGGTCTGAGAAGATCAACATATTGCAAGTCCCAGCTGGTATTTTCAAGAGGGAAGAACGCTTTTTTTCTTGATGAGTTCACAATTTGGGGAATTGCATGTCACTGGCCCATACACAGCTGAGCCCAATATGTTCCTGAGCAAAACTGTGGCTCTTTCCCATGCAACACAGCACCAAGAGCTGGATATTGCAGACACGAGATATCTGGCCTCTGCAAGAGGACAGTGAGCCCCTCAGTTCAAAACTGGACTTTTCTACATACAAACACTAGCCAGATTAGACAACCAGCAGTGAGGGATGACTAGGTATGAATGGGACTCCTTGGAGTCCTGTGCTTATCATTTTCCATTTAATAAAGAGCTGCTAGAACATATGTGTGCTGAGGGAAGGTTAACTGAGGTCACACAAGCAATTTTAGCTCTGACATCTTCTATCTTTGGACTGCTTGACTTCACAACCTAAGTGTTCTTTTCAATTCTGAAGGGGGATAAGTGTAGGCATGTAATTAAGTAAGTATACATGCAAACTACTGGCTTTGCTTTTCCCATTGGGAAAATTCTGGAGAACCTTAACATGGCTAGATAAGCTAGAATCTTGATAACAACTTGATCTAAAAGAAAAGGAGGAAAAGAAAAAAAAAAAAGAAAAGAAAAAAAGACGAGGAGAAACCCAGCAGCTTGTATGGGAAGTTTCCTCAGTAACATATGGTGGATATTTCAGAATTTTTGCTGCAAAGTCGCTTAGAACTAAGTACTCTGCCATATGCTCCTCTGACAGGAGCAGATTTACAAAGGCTTGCTTCTGCGTGTCGATGCAACATGGCAAGCTTTTAGGCTATGAATGCTAAAGGACAAGGGCCATGGCCTGACTGGGCTGTGACCTGATCTGTTAAAGTAGCACTGTATATAAAGCCATTGATATCTATAATTCTCCAGACCTCAGCAAGCACAAGAAGTCTCTGATTTGAGATTCTCCATCTTCAACAGATGGGCAATGAGAACTACTTTCCTTTGATCTGAACAGCATTTGATGCATGAAAAAAGGTGGGAGTCCCTATGGAAGATTAGTAAAGGGCCAAGTAGAATGGGTCAATGCAAAGTCCTATAGTCCCAGCTTATGAGACTATAGAAGATGTCACATCTTGCAGTGCCAGCATCAAGAATAGGACAAGCAGGATGCCTGCATTTTGACCTCGATACAATTCCTAAGCCAGGAAGGCAGAGGTGATCAAAAAATACGGACCAAGTTTTCTGAGAACAAGACCGTACCCTGCCACAGTGAAGTGTTTAAGCCCGACTTACAACAGTTCTCAACATCCCTATGGTTCTGAAGCAGTTGGGCTTCACCAATCTTTTTAATTCAGAAGAAAAAAATTTCCTCAATGGTATATAAAGGAAAAGACAAAGGGAAAGATTAGTTTTTCATAAGTATGTCTTCCCTATTACTAAGACTGTAATGGTACAGAAGATTTCCAATGACTAGCATCCACTGAGACTTCAGAAAAACAAGCAGACTGTGTATTTTCAATGGAAAGGCATTGCAGATGCATGGCACATACATGAACACATCCATGTGATGCTCTACCCTTTTGGAAGTGGATTTTGTGCCTTGTAAAAATCCTGTCGTAGCTTCAGTTGAAGACAGCAGAGCATATTACTGCTTTCTTCCTGGCAAACTGTCAGTATTTGCTTCGCACACAGTTTCCTGAATAGCTACATTAATTTGATTGACTCCAGATCAATGGTGTCTCAGCGTCTCTAAATAAGATCAAATTACATACTCCTTCTGTCTACATGTTACATGAGATTATTCTTAACAATATTTTGAAGGAAGCAATTAGCTGACCACAAATGTAATGAATCCTAATTATTTTGTTTGTGCAAACAATAAAGCCAGAATCATTTGTTTAGCAAGGAAGTGTAATTACGCTGAGAAGACAAGAAAATAAATCAAACAGTGCTACTTAGGCCTGTAAATAATGAGCATTCAACTTCCTATTTATACTAAAATTCTCATAGAATATTTTCAGTTAGCTGGAAGCCAACCTTTGAAAGTAACATTCAACACAGTTATTATTTAGTATTTGGTTGATCGTGTCCTTGAGTGTGCTAGGTGCCCTGCAGAAATACCCTTCTACATTGCCCTGTCACTGGCACCTGCTCAAAATTCACTGCAGCCAGTGCAATTTCCTGCAACTGCTTTTTGTTAATCAACAAGAAGTCGCTCACGTCACCATCATTATTGGAGCCTACTGTTCCACGCAGGGGCACCAGCAGCCAGGGGCATGTCCTCAGCAAAGGATGAATGATCAGGGGTAAAAACGGGGGGAAAAAAAAAGGCATTTTAGTATAGAAGAAACAGCCTCTATTCTGTCCAACAGTTGGCCACGCAGGCTAGGAATGAAAGAGCGACTGAAGGCAGTGGAATGAGGTTGGCTGCAGCCGGGGCTGCTCCTTCCCCAGGTTGATCTACTGCTGCGGCAAAAAACCCAAATCATTGTTCAAAAGTGAAAGATGAGCAGAGAGTCACTAGGGACTTCATACTGCAGAAGGCAAGCTCAGTCTAAAATACCTGAATTTTGCCTCCTCTGCTGATTCTGTGCAAGCCAAAACTAAGAAGGAGCTGAAAATTGGACAAACTGATCCTCAAACAGGGATCCACAAACCTCCAGCTGCATGCAAAGTCACTGGATGCAGCAAATACAGTGATGCAGCCCCCCAAAACACCTTCTTTCTGCAGATGCTAACTCCTGAAGTCAGCTCTTCTCTCAGGGCAGTTTCTTCCACCATGGTTGTGGAAGGATACTCAAAATACATGAAGATATATTTCTAATCTTTCATTCATTTTCAAGCTACACTTTAATAATGAAATCTGAATTTAAAATAAACTTAAAAGTTGATTTGCTTTTCCTTTTCTCTTAGCCTGAATAGAGATGTACCCAAAGGGATCAACATCATTATCTGGTTCTCTTAAGTGATATTCAGTCATCTTACGCCAAGGCAGGCTTACGTAATAGTAAGAGCTTTAGCTCAAATCAGGGAGAGAAGGGGGGAGAGATGCCTCAAGCTTATAGCACTCGGACTCTGATTGCAGTGACAATGTTTAAATGCTCTGAAGGCAACAAAATCACACTGATGTAAGCAAAGTGTAAATCACAGCAACATTTGTCCTAGTTGGCAGGGCAGAGGAAGGGACTGCAAATAACCTGTTGGCACTAGCAGAGTCATTAGCTCTTATGAGCTATTGCATTTTTTTTATTCCTTTCTGCACTAAGTTGGTTTCTGGTTTTGTTCAATATTTATTCATATCCCAGAGAATGATTTTTTTTGTGCTGCTTGTTATGGGCCTTACTGACAAACCTGTGCTGCCTCCTATTATGCTGTTCCCGTATCCTTGAAAATTATCAGACACCTCATCAAAGAAGTTGACGAGGAATGAATATCATCCACCCAATCTAACTACCCAGGGGAGATGTGATGATGCCCAAACTCTGCTGTTCCCTTTTTCTTTTTTTGCTATGAATGCCTCTAGTCAACTAATTCAGACAAATCCTGGGCAGTTCTTCTGACCTATTCTTTAGGTCTCTTCTAGAGAACAGAAGAACTGCTTGGGGTTTGGCTGTAACCTCCCCAAGAATTAAAATGTCACATTGGTTTTTCAGCCTGAAAAAATCTAGTGATCTTACCGTATGACCAACAGTACTGAATGATTAATGCTGAGCCAGGCATGCAAAAATGGAAATGCTGTGGGGATTATCAGGAAAGCTCAATTGTGAAAAGAAGTATTCAGGTACATGAAAGCTACTGTGAATACGTCAGTATTTCACAAGGGAAAAATATGGTGGATGCTATTCCACCTGTGAGCACCAGAGGAGTAGCTCATCTCATTCAGGGGAGGTGCACTGTACAATACCTTTTAAATATTGCTTTCTTCCAAAGAACTTTTGCAATAGGTGAAATCAGGGCTTTAATCTGGCTTTCAATGATCAAGTGATATGTTCATACATCACATTATTCATCCAGTTTACTTTGTACTGGGCAAATAAAGCTCTATTTTGTTCCTTCTAAAAACCAAGGGCAAGTGAGTTAGCAGTGTTAAGTGAAAGCCAACAGTGTCTATAAACAGATAAAGTCCTGACATAAAAAAGGCCTCAGTTTAGTACTACTGAGATCAATGGAAATACTCACTGACTTCACAGGAATGTTATCGGAAACGTTCCTTGTACTAAAGAAGAAGCTGTCAGTATTTTGCTGTCTTTAAGCTTGTACTTATTATCTCTTATTTCTTGTGTCATTACCTCAAAGAAGAAATCCTTCATGGGAGGAATTCTGATGCCTTAAAAAGAGTGTGGACTGAATGATCCACTGAAAGAATGTGGACTGAATGATCGAAAGTGGGTTTTTTTTTTTTTTTTTTYCCCCCCCCCACCAAAAATGCCTAGAGGAATTACGAGTCCCATTTTCAAGATTATTTTAGATACTTAGTCCCTGAATCCTTTTGGACAGAGATATAGACTCTTCTTTAGATTTGCTTTTGAAAAATAAATTAAATGCATCTAGCACGTAGCTGTGTGAAAGATGAGTTCCCCTAGTCAGCCAGAAGATAACATTCACCTTCTAGAAATACAGCAAGCATAGCTCAAGAGTGAAACTTTATATGTAAAACAAGCTTAATATTTTTTCTCTTTTAAAGTGTGGAGAAGATAATTTTTCTTTTCTATCAAAGACAGGCTCCAAAGCACCAAATTAGTCCGAAGAATCTTTTTAAAAAGTCTTAATTTAACATAACTATTTGTGAAATGTCTGACTAAATTTTTTTATTAGTTTAATGATGAGAAATTTTCATACCTTTCTGAATCTGTCTGGTCCTTCCAAAGATCTAGGAGTCTGTTAAAAAAATATAAACAAATGAGATCCTGGTGGAACCTATAAATAAATACTCACCTCAAAGGGCATGGTTCCATCACATTCATGGTCATCTGGATAGAATGAACCAGCAGGTGATTTTTATTTAATGAGCTTTTTAACATGCATTAGCAAGACAGTTAAAATGGTTTCAGGTTCCTGACTATTTGAATCAGATGCAGAGTTCTGGTAGCAATAGCTTTGATTTTACTGACCCCTACTGATATTATCTATGTTTACACAAGGTATTTGGTTAATAAAACATACCTCACTATAATCAATTACACAGTTTTTCTAAATATGCTCTTTATTGATAGTAGTCATGCTCATCTTGCATGCAATTTAAAGGATCTGACTTCTAGGTAAACTTTGGACTTGAATCCAAGGTTTCTTAAAGTGGAAAAACTTTGATGCCTCAGATTTTAGGTTCTCAAGTTCAGATATCATACAAAACATAGAAAGTATACATTTTATACAGGGCTTTACACGTAAAGAGTGTCAAATACACATCTGTGAACTCTAATCCCCTAAATTAAAGTATCTTGAACTTGAACAGCCCTAGTAAATCATTATGCTAGAAAATCTTGGTTAATAATTATGTACACTTACGCTAAGAACCTGAAAATATCTTCACTGTGAATATTTTACAGAGTGGAATAAATTCTGTCATCCCCTGTTTGTCTTCTATGCTAACTACCTTGATAAATTCTTAAATCTTTTGGTCTTATATTAAAATATGTTCTTTAAAAATATCTCCTTCTTATTCCATTCCAAATTCTTAGACCACCAAGAAAATTTTACCAAGTAAATATTTAGCAATAGGTTCTTCTCTTGTACCTTTCTGAGTCAGTTCAGTCAGGCAATAGCTACTCTGATCACTACATCTCTCATCAAATGGTGAATATTCACAAATGGTGAATATATACTTACTGCAGGAACAGTTCAAAAGAATTCAGTGGAAAATGTTCTGCTAGAAAGAGCCAAAAGCTAGAAACATCAGAACAAGATGTGTTTACGTATCCAAAATGAGTTGTAAATACAGATCATCCACACACACATCCATACAGTCTTCAAGCGTGTGCATCTTTAACAATTTGACAAACTGACCGATTGTTTTGTTTCAAACTTTCTACTTAAAAATATTCTGAGTATTGCTTAATAAAAGACAGTGCAGGACTTTCATTTTAGAGCAATGAAAGAGCAATGTCAGAGAACTACAGTGATTGAGAGTGAAGTGCTGTCACCTACCGGCGAACTCAGGGCCTCTTTCAGTTTAGATTTGTAGAGCATCCATCGGTATCGCAAGTCCTCCAGATCTTCAGAGTTTCCAGTGACAGGATGAAGATGAAGAAGCTCTTCAAAGAGGCGCTGGCCATCAGGAACACGAGACTGGAGTTCCTGCAGGAAAAGAGAAAGTCACCAGCTTCACCATCTAGCACATAAAATAACAGCGGCACTAAAGAAAACTATTAGATATTCTGGACTAGCACATCTACATTTGTGATTATTTTGGGGGACCCTGAAATGATAGAGAATGGCCCACTAAACTACAGAACACACTTGTTCCATTTACTCTTACAGCTTCTATTGTTGCATCTGACTTCATTCAACAGAAAGCCAAACACCAGACACCAGGTTTAATCAGCTTATTTTAAAGAACACTTTTGGCATTAGCACTTACAGACCAGGCTGCTACCTTCCCTTCTCCCACTCAGCTCTGACAGACCTTCCTTAGAATAAGTACTTGAATTGTTGAGCTTTCTAGTATAAGATGCTTCTTTAGTTCTGATAGATTTTTCACTGACTGCAACTTTCACCTCCATTTTACATCCTCTGAAAACCAACCTCCAGCTTGATGTGTCGAGCCTTAGTTTTCTCCACAGAAGATGACCCCAGAGCAAGAATTTCGGCCAGTTTGGTATTTTCCCCTTGTAACCACTCTTCAAAGTCGCCAAGGAGCTTGAGGTGGCTGCTCTTATTTTGCCATTCTCCTATCCTCTCCTAGGTTACAGAGGCAAGAATTAAAATAAGGCCTTTTATGTAACACGCATCTTCTGAATGTCCCATTGCAAGACCTTCATCTCCCAGGTTGTAACTACAAGAAAGCAGAGTCCTCTTTTACCTGCTTATGACTGGCATCTACATCTACAGGATGGAAGGCTGGTCTGGACTTCTGTCTGTTGTCCACAATTGCTATTTTCTTCTTCTTATCAGCCACTGGTTTATTTAATTGACACTGTTTGAGAAGGCTTGAAAACAAAACCAGAGATATCACTGCAGTCACACCACAGAGTTAACAATGAGACATCCACATTTTGACTTCGTCTGTGGAGGACACCTCTAGAAAAATGACATAGTTACCACTGTATTTATTTTTAATTACTTATTAACAAAATAAGACCAAGTTAGGAGTGCTCCTGAGCAGCCAGTTCCCGAGTTCTAACATTTTCATATTAAAACGTTTTCATGGGAAGCTAAAAAAAAAAAAAAAAAAAAAAAAAAAAAAAAAAAAAAAAAAAAAAAAAAAAAAAAAACAACCTTCACAATGGAACTTCTGGTCCAAACCCAGCAAACAGTATAATCAGTCTTGCCTCAGTTTAACCAGTCCATTTTCCTACCTATTCTGTAACTATTTATGCAAAAATACACACACAATCACAAATGCATAGTATTACATTTTAATACAGACTGAACAGCAGTTAGATACTGCGCAGTTGGACCAAAATGATGGCTGCATCTTCCAGCTGAGGAGTGATTTTGGCTCTTCTTAGACTTCTGCAGGTTTGCAAAAGGCACATATCCCAGTGCAGCTGCAGCCTCCTCAGAGATATTCCCAGATGAGGTGGACACAAGAACTGGCAGGTGAATCGTAACAGCAGTCAGTGGGTAGGGCAGACCCTAAGGACCTACTGCCTACTCCAAGCATGACAAAAAGGCAGCTTTGAAAGCTGCTCTGCTTTCTTCAAAGTTACGGTGTTTTAAGATTATGGTTTCCAAACTACAAGTGGTTAGCTACAATCTCAACTTCCTTCCCTACTGTTGTACCCTATCTGTTCACTTTCACAACACACACCACAAAGCATCAAGTACATCTGGTCATGCATCAGGAAAGATTGAAGTAACAGGAGGAAGATGTACCTGGCCACTTACTTGTTTGCCATGTCTTTGAGTGATCTCCAGGACTCCTTCAGTTGATTTAGCTCTGCCTGGACATGGGCAGTCTCCTCTGGGGAAGAATTCTCCATGACTAGCTGGCCATGAGCTTCCACGAGGTGCAGCTGGATCTCCTTATCTGGAAACTCAGCTAGCAATCTCTGAAACGTACAGCCCTTACAGTTACTCCTAGGTATCCTGGGGAAAGCAGTCTATGTCAGACTGAAGGCCATGTTCAGTCCAGGACTATGCTGGTTCTGTTGACACTAGCTAGAAAATACCTATCGGGAAAAAAAATATGCTGTGGATTCTTGCAAAGGGCCGACACACATCAAACAGCTGATGGCAAAATTTAAAGGGAGAATCTGTCAGTGCATCCCTGCTGTAGCCTCCCTATGAGATATCTTGGTTTTCTCTATGAAAACAAAAGTGCCAAAGTTATCTACCAGAGTGATTTAAGCATACAAAGTCAGGATAAAATCAGCAGCTGCGGGAGAGCTTAGTTTGATAAGGTTTGATAGGGTTACCTAACAAGGTTATGATCAGTGTATTGATTCATACACAGAGTCAAAGATGGGCATTGTCCAGAGAGAGTCCCCAGGCACGAAGAACTCCTTTTAACACCACATCTCCCTTATTGTTACTTTAGCCCTTTCAGCAGAATCTCACTGTTCTTTCTCTTTTACCTAGCTCCATATCCATGGCACAAGGCAAAGCAGCAGGGATGCAGCTGCAACCAACAGTTGTCTGAGGAGCAGCAAACCCTTATTGCTCTCCACAGGCAGGAGCTTCTTGCTATAAGCCCCTAATGTCTGGATGCTGCAAAGGAAATATTACACGTCCTACATCAAGATGCTTTCCTCACCTCCAGGTCTGCCATCCTGCTCCCGATGCTCCACTCCCCATTGGCACACTGGTAAGACTCCAGTTTCTCAGTGGTTATCCTGATCCACTGCTGGAGGTTGGAGAGTTTGTCATTAAATGCCCAGTGCTTCTGGATGTGCTCCTCACTCTGCTGTATCATCATCTGCAAGTGATAAAAATATATCAGTAGCTGAACACAATCAGAAGGTGGTTTCATTAGTGGAACCAACACTGTGACCAATGGTACAGAATCTCATGAGCATGAATAGAAAGAATAAATAAAAAAAAGAGAGAGAACAATTAGCAAGATAGAAAAGCTTCGGCATCAATGGCATGGAAGACCTATTGACAGGCACATGCAGGCCTGAATTTAACCACATGGGGGGGTTGTTAAGCTCTAAAAGAACTTTATC